GAACTGGGAGGACAGCTGAGTGTTTGGGGTCACCAGCTTGTCCCAGGCCTAGCAGGGCTTTCAGGCTCCTCTGTCCTGGGTGGGACAGGGGGAATTGTGCCCGTGGGCTGTGAGGAGATGTTCAGTACTGTGTGTGCTGGCATCATCAGTGACCATCCATCCCTCCATCCTCTCAATCCAGCAGCCTTGTCCTTTGGTCCCTGTTGTTGTGGGGTGTCCTAGAGGCTCTGCTGATGTTCAGATCCTCTCTTTCTGGGGGCTGTGTGGCTCCTTGTGTGCAGCTCCCTCACCCCTCACCTGGTTTCTCCCTGCCCATTCCAGACTGACGGAGCGTCGGCGATGCTGATCATGTCTGAGGAGAAGGCCCTGGCCATGGGCTACAAGCCAAAGGCCTACCTAAGGTAGGAGGGGCTGCTTCAGTGACCCCTGCTCCTGCTTCCCTCTCCTCTGCCTGGCACTGACAGCCCTTTTCCTGCACAGGGATTTTGTGTACGTGTCCCAGGATCCCAAGGACCAGCTGCTCCTGGGGTAGGTGGAGATGGAGAGCATTCCCCACAGCCCCTGCTCCCACAACAGCCCTCTCCTGCTGTGATGTGATTTTGGCAGATGTTACATCTCTCCAGGCCTTCATGAGGTGGGAGAGCAGCAGTGGCAGGAGCACCCCAGGCTTGCTGGGGCACCTCAGCAATAGCTCTGGGGGCTGTGCCTCCCTTGAGCAGGGATGGGCCATGAGCCCAGAGAGAAGGATGTGACTGTGGAAAGGGGAGATGGGGCTGGCAGGGAACACAGATGCAAGACTGGTGTGTCTTCCCTCCTTCAGCCCCACCTATGCCACTCCCAAAGTGCTGGAGAAGGCCGGGCTCAGCCTGAGTGACATCGATGTGTTTGAGTTCCACGAGGCCTTTGCTGTAAGTGCTCTAAAGCTGGGATGGCTCCCTGTAACCATCTGCCTTGGGTGATTCCCAATGTCACCCTCTCCTCCCTTGCAGGGCCAGATCCTGGCTAACCTGAAAGCCATGGATTCAGACTGGTTTGCACAGAACTACATGGGCAGGAAGTCAAAGGTAAGGCACACTCAGGACATTTTCCTCCTTGTCCTGCCCCTCCAGGCCCTTGTCCCCTCTCCAGCAGCTCTGCAAGGAGCACTGAGCTCTCCCTGGATCCTTCTCTTGTACACGTGAGCACCCCCAGATCTCCCAGCCTGGCTCCAGCCCTGGGAGCAGCTCTATGTCTCCTCTGGAGCCACTTTTCTCTCCAGTTCAGTGAAACTTTGGGGTTCCTGGGCTCCCTGCTGGCAGTGCTGGTGCTGCACAGCCAGGTTCTGCCTCTCTCCTATGAGGAGCAGTGATGCTCCTTGAGCTTGGCTTAGCAAATCCCAATTGATGCAGTTTCTTTGGGACATGAGATTTCTTTGGGATGCTGTTCCTGTTGTCGGCAGGAGGTGGAGATCCAGAGCCACAATCCCTGTAGAGGAGGGTGCTGAGGACACTGAGAGGGGCTCAGTCTTTGCACAGTGCAGGGCTCCCCTGAGGGGCTGCAGGTGAAGCAGGGCCTCCTTTGGGGTGGTTTTATCCCCTCATCATTCACCTGGATGTACATCCTGAGCTGCTTTAGGCTGAGTGTTGGGATTAGGGGGGATGAGGTGTCACCCCTTCCAGCCTGGTGACATGGGGTGTGTCCCTCTGTGTCCCCGCAGGTTGGAGCCCCTCCCCTGGACAAGTTCAACACCTGGGGGGGCTCCCTGTCCCTGGGACACCCCTTTGGGGCCACCGGCTGCCGCCTGGTCATCACTGCTGCCCACAGGCTGAAGAAGGAGGGGGGCCAGTACGGCCTGGTGGCTGCCTGTGCTGCAGGAGGGCAGGTAATGGTGCTGTGCCCCAGCCTGGGGAGAGGGAGGAACCTTGGGAGAGGGCAGCAACAGCAGGGCTGATCCTGCTGGGAATCTGCAGTCCTGCCTAGTGACCCCAGCTCTGGGTGCTGCGTGTTCACAGCTCCCTCAGGCACCTCTGGCTGCCCCCAGCACCACTCAGTCCTGTCCCTGTTCCCTGGCAGCAGAGCCCGACCCCCCCTGGCTGTCCCCTCCTGGCAGGGAGTTGTGCAGAGCCACAAGGTCCCCCCTGAGCCTCCTTTTCTCCAGGCTGAGCCCCTTGCCAGCTCCCTCAGCCTCTGCTGGGGCTCCATTCCCTTCCCAGCTCCCTCAGCCCCTCCTGGGGCTCCATTCCCTTCCCAGCTCCCTCAGCCCCTCCTGGGGCTCCATTCCCTTCCCAGCTCCCTCAGCCTCTCCTGGGGCTCCATTCCCTTCCCAGCTCCGTTCCCTTCCCTGGACACGCTCCAGCCCCTCCAGGTCTCTCCTGGCAGGAGGGGCCCAGAGCTGCCCCCAGCACTGGAGGTGCCCCAGCAGTGCCAGCACAGGGGACGGGCACTGCCCTGGCCCTGCTGCCACCCCAGAGCTGGCACAGCCCAGGGGCCAATGGCCTCTTGTCCACCTGGGCACACCTGGGCTCATGTCCAGCTGCTGTGGCTCATGTTCTCCATGCTGTGCCTGGGAGTCTGTGCCAGCAGTAATTAGTCTTGTCTCTGTTAATGAGCCGTCTCTGTGATGTTTTTTCTCTCTCTGTTCCCAGGGTCACGCGATGATCGTGGAGCTCTACCCCCAGTAACAGCCCTGGGAGCTCTGTCCCTCCATCTGTGCCTGGCGATGCCATTTCAATGCACTAATAAATCCTACACCCAATCCTTCTTGGAGAGGGGATTTGTGGCCTTTGTCAATCCCTTTTAGCTACTCAGCCAGTAATTTTTATCTAATGAGCACGCTCTATTCCACTTCCAGGAGAGGAACAGTTAACGCAGCTCTGAGTCTCTCTGCAGGCTCCTTGTAACTGTCTGATCCCTCTGGTAACCCTTCAGGATTTCTCCCACGGGGGAACAAAAGTTATTCCAAAGCTCTGGATGGAGAATTAAGTTTGGAGATCAGGAGCACGTGAAGCAGTGGAGGTGGGGGGGCTGAGAGGGGAGGTAATGCTGTGGGGAGGAGCAGCTCTGTGGGGCAGCAGGGTCAGTCCCAGGGGCTGAGCTGGGCTCTGAGGGGGCAGTTTGCTCCACGCTGTCCAAATGCTGTTGGAATGAGCAAATTGCATCTGACGAATGAATGTCACTGATGGAACTGCAATAAATCAGGACAAAACCCAGTTCTGGCTGTTTTCTTTCCCTCCCTTCATGTGAAATGCTTTGGGGACTGTTCCTGTGCTGGAGGCTCTGAGCTGACACCAGGCGTTGGCTCACTGAAATCACGGAATCACAGCTGGTGTGAGTGGGCAGGAGCTTGCAGAGATCACCTAATCCACCCCTGCCATGGCAGGGACACTTCCACTGTCCCAAACTGTTCTTCAAACCCTGTCCAGCCTGGCCTTGGGCACTGCCAGGGATCCAGGGGCAGCCCCAGCTGCTCTGGGCACCCTGTGCCAGCCCTGCCCACCCTGCCAGGGAACAATTCCTCATTCCCAATCTCCCACCCAGCCCTGCCCTCTGGCAGTGGGAGCCATTCCCTGTGTGCTGTCCCTCCAGGCCTTGTCCCCAGTCCCTCTGCAGCTCTCCTGGAGCCCCTCCAGGCCCTGCCAGGGGCTCTGAGGTCTTGACAATATTCAGGTGTGCCGGGCTGTCCTTCTCCCAAGCATTGGGAAGAGAAGATCCTTGTTCTTTTGTTTAATTTCTTTGTTCTTTTCTTCACTTGTTCCTCGTGCCTTTGTGATGCTGAGGGTGGCTGCTCTCACCTGCCAGGGAGCAGAGTTTCTCCTAAAGCACCTCACAAGCACCTTCGAGTCCTTTTTGTGACAGAAGCAGTTTCTGCCACCCACCAGCTGCTGCCCGGCCCCGCTCCGCTGAGATAAGGGATGGGTGCAGCACCCGGGCTGTCCTGTTTATTCTTCCTTGGAGATCTTGTGCAAGAGCACTGCTCCAGGGGGAGAGGGGAACCGCCAAGGCCAGAGAAAGGCCGGGATTGCTTTAGAACCACAGAATCGTTTAGGGTGGAAAAGAAAACTGAGAAAACTCATTGAGTCCCGTGCTGCCGCGGCCACCGCTGACCCACAAATGCCACATCCACGCGGCTGTTGAATCCCTCCCGGGCTGGGCACTCCAGCCGTGCCCTGCCCACCCTGCAGGTGTTCTTTGGGGGGTTTAACCCCTGCAGGCTGCGGGGGCAGAGCAGCGCCCCGGGGAGCTGCAGGCGGGACTGGTCCGCACACGCTGGGCCGGGCAGGGCTGCAGCCCGTCGGATGTGACTCATCCTGGAGGCTCATCCCTCTCCTCCCCTGCTCCGCCGGTGCCTCTCCCGTGTCCCCTCGGCTTGTGCGACCCTCGCTGCCGTCGGCACCATCGTGGCTGAAGCCGCTCCGGTGCGTCCCGTGCCCGTGGGGCGCGGAAGGTGCTCGGGGTAGCGGCGTGGGCTGGCGGCAGCGACCCGGGAGGGCTGCGGGAGCCTCGGCAGAGCTCCTGAGGGGCTCCCGGGACCGATGGAGCCCACTGGAACCCGTGCCTCGGCTCCCGGGGTGCCCAGGGGTCCCTGGTGCCAGGCAGGGAGGTTTGTGGGGCGGCTGTCGGGGCACGCCCGGGGCTGTGCCCGGGGAGCCAGCGCCCGGGCAAAGGTTCCTTCGGCCCTCCCGGCGTTGGGCACGGACCCGGAGCGAGGTAGGAGGAAGGGGGGATAAGAAGGAGGGAGTCAGAGGTCCCGGCCGGGCGGTGCCGGTGTCCCCTGCGGGCTCAGGGCACGGCAGAGCACGGGCGGTGCGGCCGCGACCCCCGGGAGCTGCCCCTTGTGCTGGGGGGGCACGGGGTGGGTGGCATCGAGGAGCGCGACAGTCCCCGACTGTGTGTCCCCAGCAGGGACCGTGGGATGGCGGTTTGCCAGGGGCGAGGGCTGGGGGGGGGTTTGTGGCCGGCAGGATATGGGGGGGCTGGTCCGGGGACCCCCCCCGCTGACGGAGCCCCGTTTGCAGGGATCCAGAACAGCCCCCGGCCCCAGATGGACCTCCCGACGGAGGATGGGGCTGAGGCACCCCAGATGGGGAGCCCCGAGGCTGAGGTGAGATGGGCAGGGGCTGGGGACCCCCCCCGGCACAACTGCAGTGGGGTGCCAGGGAACCCCAGTAGTGAAAGAGGGGGGAAATCCATGGATGGGGATGTGAGACCCCCACAGGTGGAGGTTTGGGGACCCCCATGAATGAAGGGTGTGGGATACCCACAGGTGGAGGATGGGAGACCCCATGGGTAGGTGTTTGGGTATCCAGATGGGTGGAGAATGTGAAACCCCGCAGGAGGTTTGGGGACCCCCATGGGTGGGGATTTCGGGGACCACCATTGGTGGGGATTTCAGGGACCCCCATGGTCAGGGGGCATGGGATCCCCAAGGGTGAAGGAGAGGGGATTCCTCTAGGTATTTATTTGTGAATCCCCGGGGGTGGAGGATGGGGGACCCACCCAGGCAGGGATTTGGAGACCCCCATGGGTGGGGATTTCAGGGACCCCAATGGGCAGGGGACAGGGGATCCCCACAGGTGAAGGAGGGGGGATTCCTCTAGGTAGTTATTTGTGAATCCCAGGGGGTGGAGGATGGGGGACCCACCCAGGCAGGGATTTGGGGACCCCCATGGGGGGAGGATGTGAAACCCCGCAGGAGGAGGTTTGGGGACCACCATGGGTGGGGATTTCAGGGACCCCCATGGGCAGGGGGCGTAGGATCCCCACGAGTGAAGGAGAGGGGATTCCTCTAGGTAGTTATTTGTGAATCCCAGGGGGTGGAGGATGGGGGACCCACCCAGGCAGGGATTTGGGGACCCCCATGGGTGGGGATTTCAGGGACCCCAATGGGCAGGGGACAGGGGATCCCCACAGGTGAAGGAGGGGGGATTCCTCTAGGTAGTTATTTGTGAATCCCCGGGGGCGGAGGATGGGGGACCCATCCAGGCAGGGATTTGGGGACCCCCATGGGTGGGGATTTTGGGGACCCCCATGGGCAGGGGGCGTGGGATCCCCAGGAGTGAAGGAGAGGGGATTCCTCTAGGTAGTTATTTGTGAATCCCAGGGGATGGAGGATGGGGGACCCACCCAGGCAGGGATTTGGGGACCCCCATGGGCAGGGGACGGGGACGAGGCTGCATCCACCAACATCAGTGCAGGGATGCGACCGAGGGCAGTGCTCAGGCTGGGGCGGGGACACTGTGGCACAGACGTGACAGCGTGGCCCTGTGGCTCCCTGACGAGACAGCCAGCTCCCTTCTCCTCCCTCCAGGGGCCCGAGGGGCCGCAGCGGCCGGCGGGGCAGTGGTCGGGGGCCGAGGTGGGCTCGTGGCTGGCGGCGCACGGCAGGGACGCGGCGCTGGCGGAGCTGGCTCGTGAGCACGCCCTGACGGGCCGGGGGCTGCTGCGCCTGACCGAGGGGTCCCTGCGGCGCATGGGGGTCACCCCGAGGAACCGGCGCCGGGAGCTGCTGCGGGAGCTGCTGCGGCTGCGGCTGCAGCAGGAGGTGCAGGAGCTGCGGAGCATCGCTGGCGGTGAGCGTCCCCCGCGCTGCAGGGCGGGCAGGGGCTTGACGCGATCTGTCCTCGGGGACAAGATTCGTGGAGGTTCTTCTCACTGGTCTCAGGGTGCAAAAAGTGACACGATAAGGGGGGTTTTGAAGTAATAATCAAAAATGAATGTGACCTTTATTGATGATCATAGCAAAATGTGTTAGGGAGAAGGGGAATAAAGGAGAGGGAAAGAATAAGGAAAAAGAGGGGAGGAAAAGAAAGGAGTGGATGACCAAGTCCTTCAAAGTCCAGTCAACAGAGAGCCTATTGTCTTCACATCAGGGGAGATCTCAAAAGCCCCTAGCTAAACCAGGGGGTTTTATTATGGAAAATTGCAAAGGGAGGGAGAACAGGTACAATAGTCCATGATCTCAGCAGTGGGCAAGAGCCATTGTCTTCTCAGTCCAGTGGTCAGCTTGCAAGCTCAGCTTGGTCACCTGGCCTCCCCACACACACACACACCTCTCCCCCCTGAGTTAGGGGTTTCAGTATCAGTCCTTGGGGAAAGAAAAGGGGAGTTTTTCCATATCTCATGTCTCAGTCCTTGATGGGAGGAAAAACTTCTCCCGTCTCAGTCCCTCTGTCACGGTGGTGGATGGACGGCTTGTGGTGACCACCAAGAAGGTCATTCCAGAGAGGAAGTCCAGCCAAGTCAGGAGGTTGGAGAAATTCCAGCAATGTTGCTAAGTGATGCAGGTGTAAAAGGGGACAGTGTCCCTCTCCTCATTTATCAGGTGCAGTGTCCCATAGGATAGGAAACACACGTGTGGAAATGTTGGCTTGGCCTGGTGGACGACAGTTCAAACAGGACAAGGATCTTAAAACAGGGTTTTTTCCCTCAGTGGTCTTGACTTTCATGATGGTTGTGAGGCAAAGGATGAGGGGAATTTCAGACAGACACAGGGGGATGGTGCTGTGAGAAACGAGGCTCACTCTTTGAAGTTTTTAAAAGTTTAATAAGGGATAAAGCAAAAATTAGTGCTGGATGCACAGCCATAGCCACATGTACACCATTAACTAGAACAACTCTTCTTATATATTTTTCATTGCATAGGTCAAATACATGTTCATGAAGGTTATACATATTCAAATATTCACTTGAGTTTATTTGTTCCAGGAATTCTTTAGCTTATTTTGAGTCCTGACCTCATTTTAGAGCATGTGCCACAGTGCAGACATGATTTTGAGAGTTTTGTATTTTATTTCTTCACAAGGCTCCCTGGTCTGTGGTTTTATAATTATTGATAGAGTCAGTGGTGGATTCCTCCTTGCTCTTTTGGTGTTATTTGCCTGGTTCTTTTCAATGTTATCTTATCATACAGACATTTTAGCCATTTTTACAAGTTCTTTCAACCAGTATCAGTTATTTCCCTGTTGTCAGTCAGCGACAAAAATAAAAGCATTAGTTAATATTTCACAACTACAAGTACTTCTGCAAAAGTTAATGTTATAATACACAGGACATAGTGTCTATTTTAATATTTTGTGAGAGCCTAAACTATAATATATTTATCACACTAAAATTATGTAATCAACACAGGGATTAGGGTATTAAACATAAAAGGCTGACAAATTGTATTATAGGAAATAAATATGAAAATTAATAATAAATATGAAATATTATATGAAAAGTTAAAAGGTGATTATGAACAGTACAAAATAATTTGCAAAAGCCAATATAATAGTGAAAGCCAACAACTACATAGTTATTTATGACAGTGTCACCTTCCCCCCTGTCCCCAGAGTGAAGATGATGTCCCTGTGGATGTCCCAGAGCCTGTGGGAGCAGAGGAGATGGCATGTGAGGACAAAGCAGCTGGGACTGAGCAAGACATGCAGGAACAGTGCTGGAGGAGCCCTGAGATCACTGTGACCCCCCCAAAAAATCCAGAGCCTGCCTGCTGCAGGAATTGATAAGGACAGCAGAACCTTAGAAGAAAAATTTGATCCACGAGGCTGGGAAGTTACCCCAAGCAGGCAGAAAGCAGTCCCAGAACTGATCTTGTGTGAAATAGGGGGTCACAAACACAAAGGCACTCATTGGAGTGCTGAAAAACTTTTGCAACATTTGCAAAAATCTATAATTGGGTCTAAAATGGCTCAAATTGTGCAATCAAGAATCCAACAAAGCGTAGTTTATTAAAGAAACAGCCCTGACAAGGCTAACAAAATAATGCTGGGAGCCATAAAACCTGGAAATGTTCTGGGTGAACACTGGCAGATTGATTTTACTGAATTGTCCAGACAAGGAGGGGGTATAAATCCCTCCTAGTTCTGGTGGATACCTTTTCTGGGTGGCCAGAAGCCTTCCCTTGTCACACCAACCAGGTTCGGGAAGTGACTAAAGTACTGTCAAATCAAATAGATACAAAAACCCAAAAATACAATAAATCAAAAATTGGGGGTACCTTTGGGAATGTCATCAGACACAGATTCCCATGTTATTGCAGAAGTGATACAACAACGTAGGAAAACATTGGGAATAGCTTGGGATCTTCACACTCCTTATAGGCCCCGGGCTAGTGGAAAAGTGGAGTGAGTGAATCACACAATCAAATTGCAATTGGGTAAAATATGTCAGGAACGCTCCTTGACCTGGGTCCAAGCCTTACCTGCTCTACTTCAAAGCAGAATTCAGCCGTGGGGCACCAGCAGAAATCTGAGCTGCTCTGTGGTCGACCCTACCAAGTGCCACACTCCAGGAAACACACATGTTAAAAGGAGGGGTTGATTTGAATAATAACCTCATTTCTCTTACTAAAACCTGACAGGATTTGCAGTGGTTGGACAGGGCATGAGATCCAGCAGGAGATTGGGTCTGTTTGAATGACTGGGGGACTGCTCCACTCCAACCAAAGTGGAAGGGACCTTTCCAAGCACTGCTGACAACTTTTACTGCCTTGAAACTGCACAAAGTAAAATTTTGGATACCTTGTTCCAGAATTAAAAGGGCCTAAGCCCCTTGGGAAGAAGTCAAGAGCTTGTCATGAGCTGTTTTACAAAACCAAATGGCGCTAGCCCTTGTTTTAGCATCACAGGGAGGAATATGGACTGTCATTAACTCCAGTTGCTGTGTATTTACTGCTCAGAAGACATTGTAGAGTGCCTACAGATGTCCAGGGAGTCTGGAAACAAACCCACATTTTACAACCCACAGCTCAAGATGCCACCTCCTGGGGATTTGAAGAAATCTGGACCAAATGTCCTTCATGGGTACCCAGCTGGACTTGGTGAAACATCTGTTTATAATCATCATGTTTCTAATCTGTTTATAAACATCTGTTTATAACCACCACCTTAATAATTGCTGTATGGTCTTAGCCAGCATTAAGATTCAGTGTTGCAGCTGTTTTAATGCCTTACACTCTGAAAGGAAATAAAAATCTCAGGAGACTGGTTCCCACAAGGAACTCAGAGTCAAGAAGAGGAGGGATTTTACGAGGACAGGAGAACAGCACAGCCTAGGAGAAACAGGTAAAGGGTGTAATTCAGGCAAACAGAAGTAATGAAAAATGGAAGCAGGATGCCAGCTCAGCTCTGCAAGGCTGACAAAGCAGAAGTTATGCAAAACAAGGATATTTCCCTTACTCAAAAGTGGGGGTCAAGGAACATGTCCCTAAAAAGGACATGGGATATTAAAGACAAAACCACATAAGGACTTCTGGTAAAGGATGAGACAGCATAAAATAAAGTGAAATAGGTGGGGATAGCTAACGAATATGTGTTTATGATAAAAGCTCTGTTCATTCAACACTGTCAGACTTGATTGGAGGAAGTATGCCCCAAATTACCAGTTCTGCAATAAAGAATGGCAGACATCTCCCAAGCTACACACTGAATAACAACTTCTAATCCTTTTCTTCTCATTTTCCTTCTCTAAAGCCAAAATCAAAAGGTTGGAAAAGACCTCCAACACCCTCAATTCCACCTCTCACCAAAAACACTTTCACCCCAAACCAGGCAGCAGCAGTTTCACTTTCACACGGCTGCAGGAAAACACATGATTTCCAGGAAAGCAGTAGCTGCTCCCTCACTGTCCCTATAAAAGGGGAAGCAGCTCCCTCCAAAGGAGCCAGAGCTGGGTGGGCTGTGCTGGAATTCAAGAACGGGAGCTGCGGGGGCTGGAGGGAGAAGGTAGGGGATGGGGATGGGCATGGGGATGGGCATGGGGATGGGGATGGGGATGGGCATAGGGATGGGGTCAGGGATAGGGATGAGCAGCGGGGCTGGGAGCCGGCAGCAGCAGGGAGCGGGATCTTGTTGCTCTCCTGCCTCCTGTTCCCGGGGCTTTGCCAGGGCTGGGCAGATGGCAGGGCAGGAGAAGAGGGGGCTGAGGGCAGCGGGCGGGCAGCAGCTGTGTGCTCCGAGCGTGGGCTGCAGGAAGTCTGTCGGGATGTTTCCTATTACCTCACTTCTATCATCGATTTCCAGGCAGCACTCTGATGAATTAAATTTTCCACATATTCCTTCTCTTTTCGGCTAATAAACAATTGACTGCAAGTCAAATATGGTAGATGAGTTCTAGTTTGGGCCAATTGGTAACTAATATGGTCAAGGGCAAGTGATGTTCTGTTGGAGACTATTTCTAGTACTGCCTGGCGTCGAATAATCCTATTGAGCATGTAAATTGGGGTACGATATCCCCAGGATCCATCCTGGACCCAACTTGCAGGACCATATGTGTTAATTATTTCTTCTGGAGTCCAGATTTTTCCCTACCAGTTTTGTTCCCCCCAGGTCAATTATGTTCCTGCTTTTCCGATTAGTCTTTCTCAAATTGTCATACAATGGAACTCCTAAGCCTGACCCTGATTCCTTTGGCAATAAGAAGAAGGTGGGTTTGATGACACCTATAGTGCAGCTTCCCGTCCAGTCTCCTGGAAGAGTAGTATAGGCTGTGTTGCCACAAATCCAAAATAGATGATTGAGGGCTTTCCAAAAGATGTCTTGGACTTCCCAAGGGTATTCCCAGTATTTAGATATTTGTCTTATTCCCCAAAAGGGGTTTACCCCTTTTTCTGCACGTTTGTGCAGTCTATACCCTTCATGATAAATACACCACTTTTCTTTTTTCCTAATGGACCAGTATTGATTTGGCTCTTGGGGAATTCATCTAGCATTTAAGTCTTCAATCTTTAGATACCTCTTGCATGCCATCTTTCCTCCTGGGGTATTATATCTCTTCCCTGTCCTTATTATGCATTCTTCCCCAATTACTTTAGATTTTAAGTCCCATTGTTCTTTCCTTCTTTGTCCTAGACTTGGAGGTTTCTGTCCTGACTGTTCCCACCTTAGAATTTCTAATGGTCCTAAATTAATTCACTCCCATGGCCAAATTTCTGTCATTTTCGTACTCCCACAGACCCCGCAGCTGGCTAAATTCAGTTTCTTACTAATCCTTTCAACTAGGTCTAGGAATAGGTTTTTCCCTAAGGGCATTTCTAGTTCATCCCTTTTGGTGGTTACTGTCAGTTGTCTTTCCTTTATTAGATCTTTCAGCCCTTCCTGATTACTTTCATGCTCGAAACAAAACCAAGTTTCTCCTACAGGGCATTCTCCAAGTAAGCGTTGCCTAAATGAGGCAGTGCTTCTAGCAATCCAATAGGTCTTCCCGTCCTCTTGACAGGTAGAAAACTGGGAGTAGTTAAAACAATTAGGGTTTACATTGCTGTGAACCCTTATCAGTGACCCAAGGTTCTCCCCATCATATAGGGGGTGATGGCACTCAGTACATGCATTTTCCTTACTTCCTATACTTTTCATAAACAAGACTAACACCAGTCCTCCCAAGAGTCTGGTATGAACCATCACCACGATCTCACCTGGCCTTGCCTCTTAGGATTGGGGAACTTTCTCCCTTATGATGGGCAGCAGGGTCTTCTCTTTCCTCCCACTTCCTATCAATTTGTTAGCCCCTGAGGAATGTTCTGTAGGAGAGGAGGTTTGAAACCATGGATGTTTTCTTTGGGAAAAAAAAGAGATTATTAGAACTCTACTGTTCATATATCCTTTTAGTAACTTTCAACTTAACTATAATACTAACAGTTAACTCTTATAACTCTTCAACTTGTAACCTTAAACAGTTTAAAATAGGTGGAAGAACCCATTCTGTATATTCAAAATAATATATAAAATCTTTGAATTAACCAAATAGTTAGCAAAATATTAACTCCAATCTCTAATCGAATAACATCATAATATACTCCAAAACAAACAAAGGCTCCAACACGAACTAAAAATTCCACATTCATAAGTTAACAACAACAACAATAAATAATAATGACTTGAACAAAAAGTATAACAATCTTAGTATATTAGTCTCTGTCCTTTTAGCAATCCTTCTAAGTGAACTTTGGTTTCCTTCTAAAGGTTACTTTGAGATTGTTTGAGTTTGGGATTGCAACCTATGTGGAAGAGTCTGTAGTTGGTGCTGTTGGATTTGGTCTGCTGTTTGCGGCGGGGTGGTACTGGTCCTTTGACTTGGGTGATGTGAGTCCAACCTCTTTCTCGTGTCCTCACTGCAGTGTGTGTCGTGAGTAATAGCTGGAAGGGACCTTAAAATTTGGTGTTAATGGGCTATTGCTCCATGACTTAATTATTACCCAATCTCCCAGACCTATTTGGTGCACATTTGTATCAAGAGGAGAAGTTTGGGGAAGATATCCTCTTTCTCACAGACTCTCTAGAGGCTTTACAATGGTTTCTAACTACTTTCAAGTAGTCATTTCCCCTTCTAAAAAATTCCCAGTACTATAGGGAGTCATTAAAAATGGGAGACCAAACTTCATTTCATAGGGCGAAACCCCTATGGCCAATCAGGGTCTGGTCCTGATCCTTAAAAGGGCAAGGGGTAGACATTTGAGCCAGTTCATCTGCATTTCTGTGATTAATTTTCTTAATAAATTTTGGAGGGTTTTATTAATTCTTTCTACCCTCCTGGAGCTCTGAGGATGCCATGGTGTATGTAATCTCCATTTTATTCCTAAAGCCTCAGTTATTTTATGTAATACTTGGGCCATAAAGTGCAGTCCCCTTTCTGAATCAATACTGTTCACCAACCCGTATTAGGGAATGATGTTTTCTAAGATAATTCAGGCAACCACTTCCGCGGTCTCTTTTCTACTTGGAAAGGCTTCTACCCAATGAATAAGATGGTCAGCTATTACCAATAAGTGTTTGCAACTCTATATAGGGGGCATTTCAGTAAAGTCTATTTGAATGTTTTGGAATGGTCTTTGGGCTAATGATACAATTTTAGAGGGCTTCTTATATCTCACAGTTTTTCCTTAACTTCTTTCCATGTATATTAAACAATCTGTTTTACACTCAATATGTTATTTCTCATTGTGTCCCCAGCAGCTCACGTGTACCTCAGGTGTCGAAATCTGTCAGGTCTGGACCAGGCAGCTTCCCCTGCTGCTCTCAATGCTACGCTGGGCTTCCACCTCCGGCTGCACCTTGCCCTGCAGCCCACTCCCCATCACGTCAGATTACTATGGAGATGACCACTATACAATTTTAGAGGGCTTCTCTTACATGTTTTCTGTGCAGCCCTGACTCTGCCTCTCAGTGCTGCATTTTGCTGTTGTTCCAGTGCTCATGTTGCAGTGACTTAGCAAACCACCCTCTGTACTTCTCAGGGGTCATGCTATTGCTGAGGCACCCCCTGCTGCTGTGGCCATGCCAATTGCCACTTCTATCACACACCTTGTGTCCTGCTGCACACACTGCCATTCAGGGGGAACCCAGCATCATCCTGGGTCCTTGATCACGTCGGGGTCACTAATTGTTGCTACCTTATTGTAAAGGTTTCGTACCTTCTCAGTAATATCTCAGGGGCAGCTCTTCACAGCACAGACTCCTTCTTCTCCTCCTCTGCACAGCCAACCTGCTCTTTTACAATAGCCCTCTTAATTGGATCCAGCTGTTTGGTGCTGGTATGGATAGTATGCCTGAAATTCTTTCAGGACTCAATTTCTTATATCTTTTCCCAGTCATGTGTCCCAGATCAGTGACTTCTGCTTCCACAAATTGCAATTTATTCTGGGATACCTTTAAACCCTTTGCTCCTAGGAAATTTAAAAGATGTATTCTTGTTGCCCTGACATTATTCTGTTCCTTCCAGATATTAATAAGTCATCTACATATTGTAGAATTTATACTTCACTTTCAGAGGTGAATTGTTCTAAAAGCTCTTCTAAGCCTTGCCCGAAGAGATTTGGGGACTCTGTAAATCCTTGGGGTAGGCGAGTCCACCTTAATTGTTGTTTCCTCCTTTTCTCTGGATGTTCCCACTCAAACGCGAACCAATCCCTACATTCCTCTGCAAGAGGACATGCCCAAAATGCATCTTTTAAATCTATAATGGTAAACCAGGCATGCTCCCTTGGGATCTGGCTCAAGAGGGTGTAGGGATTTGGGACTACTGGATGCCTAGTTATAGTTCTCTTATTTATTTCCCTTAAGTCTTGGACTAATTGGTATTTTCCATCTGCCTTCTTGATTGCTAAAATAGGGGTGTTGTGGAGAGACATACCTAGCTCTAGGATACCTTCCTCTAATACATGCTCAATCACAGGGATCAATCCCTTTTTACCCTCAATAGACATTGGGTATTGCTTTACCTGAACAGGAGGAATTTGTTTTTGCATTTCAATTCTTACTGGTGGGATGTATAGATAGCCTCTCTTTCCTTCTCCTGCCCAAACCTCTAGGTTTATCTGCTCTATATCTCCTGATGTCAATTTCATGATCTGAACTGTCATTCTCCCATCCTTTGGGATAATCCCCACTCCTAAAACCTGCAACTTCGATGGCTGTTAATGGGGCATTCACAAACCCAAGTCCCACATGTATCCTACCCAAGGGGACTTCTCTAAGAGGAAAAAGCCTCTCTGCTTTAGATGGTTTAGATCTTGTATTACAGTAAGGTCCCTCTGTGAGGTTACCCTTCTGGGAAGAAACGGGAGGTGTGGGGGCTAGTTGACTTATACTAACTGGGTTTTAGAGATGGAGGTGCTCACCTCCCACTTAGGAGGAGGTAATGGTATAGCGGTAGGAAAGGGGGAAGAAACCCCCCCTGTAGGGAGGGACACTGGGAGTGGAGCTGGAGAGACAGTTGAAGGGGTTGAGAGGGAGGCTGGGGAAATAGCCAGATTAGAGGGAGGTGGGACAGAAGTGTTTGGAGCAGGTGAGGGAGTTGAGGTTAGGGTAGGAGTATTAATCATACAAGTATTAATCAGAGGTGGTGATGGGATTGGGCTGGCTGCTGGTTCTGGGGATGGAGGAGCCAGAGGTAAAATCAGGGGATCTGGGAGAGGAACATGAGGCATTGCCATGTAAATAGGGGGGAGAGGAGATGGAGGTAAGTAATCAAGGGGGTCCACTTTTTACAAGCTTCATCTCTCCTCTCATTCTTTTCTTCATGTTTTTGTAGCTTACAGATTTTTATAACCTCATTGCTGGTGGTATCCCTCGGCCAACATGCAGCATATGTTAACTGCTCAAGACTGGGACTTTCTCGGGTTTTCAGATCTTGATTTAATTGGGAACACATCCATGGATCTCTTGTCCCATACCATGGCCACTCACCCTGCAGGTTTAACTTAGGCCAGACTTCCATACAATAGTGAATAATTTTTATTTTGTCTAAGTCTTTGTGGACTTCTGAGTGTCCCATTGATCTAGCATCTATCCAAGAGGGCTATCAGTGGTAATATTTTTCTTTTTTCTCATCTTCCCTTCTGAATCTTCATCTTTTATTCAAACACTTTCCCATACTGACTCCAATTGGGTTCTTAACTGAAATTTTAAGGTGCCTCTACCCGAAAGGAGAACTACAGACAGGCAACACAACACTTAATATTCTTTTACTGCTCAAACATTCTTTCACTCTCACACTGGTAAGGATGGGGAATTCACTCACACACTCGGGACACGGAGAGGAAACTCACCCACACTCTCGGGCCCAACTCTCTTACTTCCCTGGGGTTAGGTCCCAACAGAGCTCCCTCTTGCCCTTCCGTTGCATCCCTAAAATGTGTGTGACTCACACAAAAACCTAAGCCTCTGCATGCCTGGAGTCACCTAGGCCCTGGAGTTAGGTCCCAACGGGGCTCCCTCTTGCCCCTCCCTTGCACCCCTACAATACATGGCCCAGGCGTTAGGTCACAACGGGGTTCCCTCTTGCCCCTCCTTTGCACCCCTACAGTATGTACAAGGCCTGAGCCCTGGGGTTCCCAACAGGGCTCCCTCTTGCCCCTCCCTTGCACCCCTACAATACGTGGCCCTGGGGTTAGGTCACAACGGGGTTCCCTCTTGCCCCTCCCTTGCACCCCTACAATACGTGGCCCTGGGGTTAGGTCACAACGGGGTTCCCTCTTGCCCCTCCCTTGCACTCCTACTAGGCCTAACAAAAAAAAAGGGGGCCTCCCCCTGTTGTGTGCCACTCACACGGCTATCCCCTGCACACTGTGGGGGGGGGGTCCCTTCTGTCCCCAGGAGACGCCTCACTCGTTCCTCTGGGCCTTGTTAGGCCTCTCTCGCTTCCCTCCTTTCCTGGCCGGCCCCCTCACAGGAGTCCGGAACTGCGTTACTGGGAGGTCCTCACGCGCTTTGGGGATCCGAGCTGCCGGCCCCCGTCTCACTCACTCCCCACTCCTTGCCTCCAACTCCCACCACCAGTTCTTACCAGGTCCAGGGCTCCTCTGCATCGCTAGTCCCAGGCTGTCCTCCCAGGTCTGGCATAGCCAGCTGTTCCCTGGAGGCCCAAGAGGGCGGGCGGCTGTCCCATCCCTGGTCCTCTTTGTGTGCGGCTATCCCGGAGGAGGCCCCAGGCTGTAATAAACAGGACCAGGAGACCAGGTCCTTTAAGAGGTCTTTATTAAGAACAGCTCTTGGGTGGGCAACTCGAGAGGTCACACACACCGCCGCTGCTCCCACAGGATGACTCTGAGGAGGAGAAGTGCAGCTTTGTCTCTCGGCAGAGCTGGGGCTTCCGTCCTCACAAGAGTCCTTAGGAAGACAATGTTGGCTCGTAGTCTAGGGGTGTCATCCAGACTCAGTACTATTAAAGTTATGGTAACAGGACAAAATCTGGCTCTGGTCAGTAGTGGGTGATTCTCGGTGGTGCTGCCAGGTTAAAATCATAGTTTATATGTTAGTTTGTTGTTTTTAAGAGGACCCGTATAGTACCAACAGCTCCTCATTAAATTCAGTCTGGGTGCAAGTCCGTCTGGGAGCAGGGGAAGTGGTTCCTGACCTGACGGAAAGGGATACAAGTACAGGGCTGCAAGTCCTTCTGGGAGCAGGGGAAGTGGTTCCTGACTGACGGAAAGGGATACAAATACAGGGGTGCAAGTCCTTCTCGGAGCAGGGGAAGTGGTTCCAGATGGAAAGGGATACAAATACAGGGTAAGATAGTAACACTTAACAGTGGCAACCAAAGGCAAGGCCCAGAACTCTATCATTCAATATTCAACAACAGACCAACTTTTCAAATTAAGACCCTGACAACTTCATCAACATTAAGTAACAATTACTACTCTAAAAAAAAGAGCTCCCATCTCCAGGGTTTTATTTCTCACACAGGGCAGGTTGTGTGGCTAAGTCTGTGTGTGCCTGTGTGTGTGTCTCTGTGTGTCTGAGCAGTCTGAGGCCTTGCACGTGCGCCACAAACCATAGAGCAAGAGCACAAACAGTCAGACTCCTTCGAAAACTTTCTTGATAAGCTGATGAAAGCAGCCCCTGGATGTGCAAGCAGGGATGGCCATGTGCACCCCATGGACCTGCAGATGGCCATCTTCCATTGTGCTGATGACTTCCTGAGACAGACCCTTGCAACCAAGCTGGCCTTCTGCCAACTGGCAGTGCCTCTGCTGCTGCCCAACCCGAGCACTTCACGCATTGAGTTCCTGCTCTATGCCCTCAGCCAAATCCAAAGGAGCTGGAAAGAGGTGGAGAAGTCAGGAGAGCAGGCCCAAATAAAGAGTTACAGCAACAAACTCATCTTTCAGGCACAGACACCCATCGTGTCCTTCATCCGCATTGGCAGCTCAGCCTCCTCTTCCAAGTCCCAGCTCCTGAACGCTCTGCTGAGCAAACGCAAACACGACACTTTCTTCCACCGCAACTGCAGAGGCAGCACCAGAGAGCGTTTGCTGATGGAAGGGATGGTGGAGATTGCCTGGTACTGCCCCGGTGGAAGCCCTGATGACACCTTTGAGCGCTGCGTGGCTTTCTGTAACCTGCATGGAGATGCCAGGGATCATGGAGCACAGCTGCTGTTCCTGCAGGAGATATCTGCTGTGAATGTGGCTCTTGTGTCCGATTGGGAGCACATGGACAGCAGGGGGAAAAAGATTCTGCAGGACCTGTGGCAGTCACAAAGCCCATTGGTTTGTCTTCTTACGGAACAAGAGAATGTTGAAGCTGGAGAAGCCAGCAAAAATATAACAATAGGGATCAAGAACAGAAATGAAGCAGAACTGATGGACCAGCTGACCAAGACAATTGGGGATCTCCTGGAAGAGTCTAATGCATGTTTCAGCCTGGAGGCCTGCGTGGACATATGGTCTGAAATCCTGATGAGAAAGAAAAGCAAAAAAGAAGCCAGTGGCAATGATGTGTTGCTGAGTCACCTGGATGCCCTCTCTGATGAAATCAATGATTCATCCATTGGCCTGGAGCACCTTCTGAGAGAGGTAGGGCAGATTTATGAAGCTCTGGAATTAACAAAGACAAAGAATAAGAGTTTTGTCAAACTACCGGAAATTGCAGCAGATCTGATGGTTTCAGGGAACGAGATTGGAAAATAAAATTCGGAATGGTGACTTGCAGAAAGTCACCAGAGAACACCTTGAAGGGCTGGTGCAAGAGACAAGTGATGCCATTGAGAAAGAAGTGGAAAAGTATTTCAGTGAAGACAAAGACCGTGAGACACTGGTCCAGTGGAAATCAGGCACGGAGATGAAGCTGAAAGAACTAAAGGAGACTCTTCTTGATGAAATCAAAAAGAAATGTGAAAATCTTATTGAGCTACAGAAGGAGCAGAAGAAACTGGATGCAAGGAAGTTGCAATATGAAGATGAGCTCCTGAGAAGGAGTCGGGAGCTGGCTGTGAGTCTGAAGGGGAAGAGCCTCAGCGAGAGAGAACTGAAGGACAACTTTACTCTTGTCTGGAACAAGTGGATTGCTGAAGTCTCCCGTGATGCTTGTCTTCGGGAACGGGTGGATATCGATGCAGAAATCGAAGATGTCCTTGTAGAGCACTTTAAGGAGCCGGGTATCCATGAACGCATCAGGTCATATGCCAAAAGCAGAGGATTTTCCTTTGATCCAGAGAAACACATCATGAAGAAAAAGTATTTTGGCTATTTCTCAGATCCTAGAAGGGTTTCCAATGCTGATGTGATCAAGTTTCAGCACATCACAGACAACATCATAGAGCGTGTGATGGCAAACATTTCTAAGAAGGAAGAGGAGAAACGTGATTACAGTAGAAATTTTATTCATGAAATACTCAATGAAGTACAGAATGGTGTGAACTCTGTCCCCAGCAGTGGAAAATGTAATTTTAACAGAGAGTACAGCATAGACTTGTCTCTGTATCTGTGTAGAATGGCAGCAGAAAGGTTTAAAGCCATGCACGAAGCATTCCGAAAGTCTGAGGGATGGGCTCATGAAAGAATTGGCTGATGCTGACCTGAGATGGTTTCCAAGGCAGCCTCACACCATCCTGGCAGAGCATTTTTCAGGGTGCTGGGAGCAGTGTCCCTTTTGTGGCGCTGTCTGCACAAACACAATGCGAGGTCACGATGGAGACCATCAGCTGGTGTTCCACCGCCCACGAGCTTTGACGGGAAGCACATGGTGGAAATGTTCATCTGGCATGGAGTATGATACGCATGAACTGGTCATTGATATTTGTTCCAGCCTTGTTGCAAGTGACTGCTCATTCAAATTTGGTGGTGGTCCATGGATCCCTTACAAAACATACCGTGATGCTGGACCTCCTGTTTCCACTTGGAACATTCTTCCTGATTCCTCCATGCAGGCGTACTGGAAATGGTTTGTGTCTCATTTCAGGACACAGCTGGAAGCTTTGTACAATGGGAAATTTCAGGGCAAAGGAGAAATCCCTGAGGCCTGGCAGAGAATTACCAAGCAGGAAGCACTGTCTGCACTGAAGCCGCGTTAGGCCATGTCCATGTGGAGGAAGAAGCACAGCAGCTTTGCAGTTTAGGAGAACTTTGTACCAGGCTCTCCACAAAACACAGTTACAATGATGGCACTCTCAAGACCAGTAAACACAATGGTGTCCAATTGCTCCCAAAACTTGGTAAAATAAGGTGCATTACTGCACCCATCACTCAGCAACTCCCTCGCTTCATGAGAAAGCCAGAATCCTCTTGCCTGTTTGCCATAAACCTTTCCCTTGGTTTTCTCCTAGAGCTCAACCAAACTCACTCCTTGGGGTGATCAGCCTCATGGCCAAGCCTGAGCCCAAGGGCTAGGGATGGGGCAAAGACAGCATTCAAAGCACTCCTTGGATCAGCTGTTATGAGACAAGAAGGGACAGTGCCCCAAAGGCAGTTTTCCTGCAGCAAGGAGCTGTCCTGCTTGGAGAAAGGGCTGCAGAACATGAGGCCAGCTCCACGCTGGCTGCAAGCTGGGCTGCTTGGTTTTGGGCATCATCCTTCCTCACTCATTGCAGCCTCCTGGATCAACTGAGGCCGTTCTCCCAGCAGGAGCTGCTGTGCCTCTGCTCTCAGGAAAGCAGTGACACGACTGCCCCGGGTCTCAGCCAGTGCTTTCACTCCCTGTCTCAGGGGTGCTGTGTCTCTGTCCAGGGCAGCCGCTCCTGCTCAGGTGCCTGGGGCTGCTGCCCTTCCCTCCAGCCCTCAGCCCCAGCCGGAGCTGCTCCTGCACTTGGCCTCACTGCTGAGCAAAAGCCTTTGGAATGATCCTTGTGGAGAATGCTGGATTTTCCACACAAAGACTCCTCTCGCTCATTGGTGAAGCAGTGATTACAACGTCCGGGCTCAGGCATCTGGTGGGCTGAGGGAACTGTCTGTGTGGCCTGAAGCAGAGAAGCTCTCGGGAAGGTGACACCCCGACAGCACCTGCCCGTGGGTTCCCACACACACCAACCACATAAGACTGTCACTACACCCCAAGAGCTGATGGCTCAGTTCATTACAAAAGCCAGATCATGCCTCAAAACCTTAGCAGGGTGTGAGTTCGCACATATTTACCTTCCACTGACATCAGGAGATCTGGAATCTTTGCTCCTGATCAATGAACACCTTCAGTTTGCTTCTGACAGCTACCCAGGTCAAATCTCTGTCCACCTACAGAAACATAAGCTATTTAATGAGGGTTTTAATTTAGGTGCAACATCATTAAAGAGTCTAACTGCTTCAAAGGCACTGACTGTTTTTACTGATGGCTCCATAAAATCCCACAAGTCAGTTATGACTTGGAATAATCCTGACACTCAGGAGTGGGAGTCTGATGTTCAAATTGTTTAGGTATCCACACAAATTGCAGAATTAGCAGCCATTGTCAGAGCCTTTGAGAAGTTCAAACAACCCTTATATCTGGTTACTGATTTAGCCTATGTTGCAGGAATAGCTGAAAGAGCAGGACAATCCTTATTAAAGGAAGTGCCAAATCCAGATTTATACAGCTTGCTTTCAAAGTCAAAATACCTCCTCTCCTTCCAAGAGCAACCATATCACATTATGCATGTGAGATTACACACTGCCTTCCCAGGACCAGTTACAGAAGGCAGCCACAGAGCAGATACTTTTGCCATGGCAGTACAGAACACCCTACAAGACATTTTTGTTCAGGCTAAATTGAGCCATCAGTTTTTTTCACCAAAATGTACCAGCCCATGTCCATATATTTAAAATCACAAGGGAACAGGCAAGAGCAATTGTGGGCTCCTACCCCAATTTCCAGGATTTTGCTTTTCCCTCCATAGGGGCAGGGGTTAACCCCTGAGTCCTCAAAAGTGTACAATTGTGGCGAACAAATATTACACACTATGCACCCTCTGGGAGACAGAAATATATTCATGTGTCCATAGATACGTTCTCTGGGGCTATATTCACATCAGCCCACACAGGAGAAAACACAAAAGATGTCATCCAACATTGCCTCCTAGCATTTTCCACCCTAGACATTCCCCAAGCCATCAAAACAGGTAGTGGTCCTGCTTACACCTCCAAAAATTTCTAACAGTTCCTAAATCAATGGTGGCGTGAAACACACCCATGGCATACCTCACTCCCCAACAGGGCAATCTATTGTAGAGAGAGGCTCACCATACTCTCAAGAGAGTCCTTGATCACCAGCACGGGGAAGTTGAAACACTACCGAATGTAGAAAGATTATGTAAAGCTCTTTATGGCATCAATTTTCTTAATAATTCATTCATGGAACCAAACTCCCCCATCATCAGGCACTTCTCAAACACTAGCAGAGCTCAGCTCTTGGAGAAACACCCTGTGCTGAGCAAAGATCCCGAATCCAAGCAAATAATGAGCCCATTTCCATTAATTACTAAGGGTAGATGTCATGATCTGTCCTTGTGAACGGGGGTCGTGATGGTTTGTTTCACTGATCTCAGGGTGCAAAAACTGACACGACAAGGGGGGTTTTGCAGTAATAATCAAAACAAATGTACCTTTATTGAATGACCACAGCCAAATGCATTAGGGAGAGGGGGAGTGAAGAAAAGGGAAAGAATAAGGAAAAAGGGGGGGTGGGGAAAGAAAGGAGGGGTATAGCTACCAGATGTGTAACGCCGTAGTCCTTCGAAGTCCAGTCGACAAAGCCTGTCGTATTCATGTCAGGAGAGATCTCAGAGATACTGGTCAGCTCTAATCTCTATTATAGTCTTTTTTAGCCTTTTGATTGGGGGAAGGGGATACCTTTTGAAATCAAATCAAATGTAATAAAGAATAATCTATTGGAAAAGGGTACAAAAAGTCCATCAGCAGTAGGCGCGAGCTATTGTCTTCTTGGTCCAGTGGTAAGCTTGCAGGCAAACATCTTGCTTTGGTCATTTGGCCTCCTCACACACACCTCCCCACCCTGTGATAGGGATTTCAGTCTCAGTCCTTGGGGAGGAAGGGGGAGCTTTTCGTCTCATGTCTCAGTCCTTGGGGGAGAGACTTCTCCCATCTCAGTCCATCTGTCACAGTGGTTGATGTATGGTAAATGAAGAGTCTTTTTCATAGCGACCACCAAAAAGGTCATTCCAGAGAGAAAGTCCAGCCAAGCTGGGAGGTGGGGAAATTCCAGAACCAGTGTTGCAAAGTGGTGCAGGCAAAGGAGGGCACAGTGATCCGTTCCTTTTTCATTGTGTGCAGTGTTCTAGGATCTTGGTAAACACGCCTGTGAACACTGGCATGGCTTGGTGGGCCAGTTGGACCCGGATTTCAGAACAGGATCTTTCTTTTCCCCGGTGGTCCTGATTTCTGTCCCTTTCACGACGATTCGTGAGGCAGAAGATGAGGGAAATTTTGGACAGGTGCAGTAGAGGCTATGCTTGCGTGTCTACAGGATCTGGTCCAAGGTGGATTCCAGGTAAGAATATCAAGCCATACATCAAACCGTCAAATAAAGCATCCAGAGACACTCCCTCTGAACCTCAGAGACAGCAAAGAGATCAAGCTCGGGTGGCGAGGAGGGGAAGGAAAAGGAGTGTAAATGCAGATGTTCATCACAGAAGAAGATGACTCTCCTCTGCTCCAGAATATTATGAGACTCTCTGTTGAATTTTATTTGCTCGTTGTTTTGGATTGTTACCTTTTCAGACAAGGGGGGTTGACAGGATGGATTTCATCTCTTGTTAAAGGAATTTTTTTGGTTGCAATTGTTGTTTTTATTGCTTTACCTATGTTTCCCTGTTTAGTTAAGTGTCTGCAAAAGTTAATTGGGGAAGTCTTCATAGTAAGAAAAAACAGGGAAATCCCCAGGGCCTTGCCCTGGAATGATTTACCGTAGAGTCTCCACCTAGGCTGGAAGAGAAGACTTCCCCCATGGAGCCTAGCCAACACTATGATTCACACCTGTTACTTTCCCCATATGTTCCAAATGCTCGTGGTTTCCCCTTTCCCTGTTTCCTCATTGTGGCATCCCTGGTGGCCAGCCCCGTCTTCCCTGCAGGCTAATGCCCTTTGTCCTGCACTTTATGCAGGCCTCGTGCCCTCAAATCTTTGCCTGCTGACCTCCCACTTAACCCTGTGCACACCACACTGCCAGGCCTTTTGTCACTGATTCTCCTTTGGAGTGCAAGAATAAACCTTCTATGGTTTAATAAACTGAAATTCGTCATACAAAAGACCCTTCTTGCCTCTCTTTGCTGAGCTACCCATGGTGAGCGTGGTGTGTGGACTTGACGGCTTTGCCTGAATGCCTCCCCAAGCACCTTTACCACAGGAGATGCTCATTGGGAAATAGCTAGCAGCAACC